CCCACCCCCACCCAAGCAGGAGGTCACTAACAAAGGCTGAAAGTCCTTTAGCAGCTGTCGGGGAGCCCTCAGCTCTTGTCATCTCTCATGCCGAATTTATAAATCTACTTTGGGGAGGAGAAGTGAGTTTTGTGTTTTATTTTTTTTAACCATAAAATATCAATTTACAGACAAAAGTCTACATTAATTATAGAAGAGCTTGCCTCAGACACCGAGGTAGTGGACAGCTGCAGGCAGCTGGGGAGGAACCCCTAGAAGCCATCAGATGGCGTAGGCTCTAGGTCAGGGGTTGGCAAACTACGCCCCATGGCCAAATCCAGTCGCACTAGTTTGTATAGCTCTGAAGATAAGAATGACTTTCACTTGTTTAAAAGGAGTTACCAAGACTCCATGAAAGTAACCAAGAAGTAACCAAGACTCCATGTGGCTCACCAGCCCTAAAATATTTAACACTGCCTGGCTGCTTACAGAAAAGCTTGTCAGCCCTTTCCTGTGTCTTAATCTTTGGGTTAGAATGAACCGTCATATTTTTGAGAGGCTCATATCCTTGAAGAGCTGATAAAAGCTTATGATTCTTTTCCCCAGAATTATGTCCAAATACACATATGTACAATTATGCTTACAATTTCAAGGCATTAAGGGCTAATTCTGATGCTCAAAAAAAAGCATAGAAGAATCAATCATAGTAAATATTAATCAACAAGGTATAAGCCAGCTATGTTTCTTCTAAGGGACATTATTTCCTGGTTTTCTGTGAAACTAGACTTGGGTCCTAACAAATTGGGTCTTCATAGTTCACCCCCTTTTCCTCTGATTGGTCCTCAGCCTTTGCTCAAACACCTCATCATGAGATAAGCCCATCTCATTTTTCTGTGGTTGTCACAGAAAGCTGTCTTGTGTGAAATCAAAATTGGTTTGTTTTTTTTAAGATTTTTTTTTTTTTTACTGGAGAACTGGGGAAGGAAACAGTGTTGGGGAACCGGGGAAGGGGAACATGGTGTTTTTCCAGGACCCATCAGCTCCAAGTCCAGTTGCTGCCCTCAATCTAGGTGCACTGGGCACAGCCCACCATCCCATGTGGGAGTCGAACCAGCAACCTTGTTAAGGGCACATGCTCTCACCAGCTGAGCCATCCTGCTGCCCATTGGCAGCTCAGCTCGGGCTCAGCTCACTGGCCCATGTGGGAATCAAACCAGCAGCCGTGTTGCTCAGAGCTCGCGCTCCAACCAACTGAGCCACCCAGCCAGACCTGGTTTTTCTATTCATGATCTTTTTTCTAACCTCATGGGCTATAAGAACAAAGTCTGGTTCTTCTGTAATCACAAGTCTATAAAACTGGGATGCTTTAAAAAATTGTATCTGGGGCCAGCCGAGTGGCGCNGGTTAACACTCTGGTTAAGGGAGCTTTGATGAAAACCAGCCTCCTCTTCAGAGGCCGCCCAGTAATCAGAATGGCAGCAGAAGCTGTGGGCCAGGAGGCCGGCCCCTGGAGTTCTGTTCCTGCCTCATTCCCTGATTAGTGCTGGGTGCTGACTGGCGTCACTGTTACCAGCCAGTCTTTCCCTCTCCTTTCCTCCTAAGTACAGGCTCCCCTTCATTCATCTTTTGTCACAAAAGTTTTTTGGTTCCTGGGGTTACATAGGTGAAGCAGACCTGTCCCCTGCCAACAGGGACATGTATAAAACTATACATAAAAATAATAAGTTGAAAATACCCCAGGCACTGTGTATGCTTTTCCATCATTTTCTCCAGTTTATACAGCAGGGAGGCTGAAGCAGAGCAGTTAACAGAAACTTCTAACAAGGCCACACAATTAAGCAGCAAAGCTCTAAATCTAGGAAGTGAACCTAGGAAGGAAAGCGCTGATAAACGTGCCCCTGGGGCAGCAGATCAGAGGCAGGAGAAGCATGGCTACTTGGGCTATGGGGGAGAGCTGCAGGGCAACATAGCATCTGACTCACCACTGGGAGGTGGTGGGAAAGGCTTGCCAGGCTAGGAAAACCACACGAAGAGCAGCATAGAGGAAGGAGAGCCCAAAACACTGAAGGAGCAGGATTCTAGGGTTTTGAAGGGCAGCAGTGAGGAATGAGGCTGGAGCAGAGGGGCCAGGTCACAAAGGAGGTTCTGGGTGGCCTTGCCAGTGCCATCGCGGGGGAGCTTTTGGATATGAGTTATTTCTGCCCACCCTAATCCTCCTGTCCACTCAGCGGATCCTAGAACCGGATGACTTCCTGGATGACCTCGATGATGAGGACTATGAAGAAGATACTCCCAAGCGTCGGGGCAAGGGGAAGTCCAAGGTGAGGGGCCAAGGTGCTGCCTACAGCCTGAGGAAGGACAGCCTGCAGATTGGAGTGAGATTAGCAGCCACTTCTAGGAGAATTTAACTGTTTAGCCTAGACACCTCAGTAAGAGCATCTTTTTGCTCTTCTTGGCAGAGTAAAGGTGTGGGCAGTGCCCGCAAGAAGCTAGACGCTTCCATCCTGGAGGACCGAGACAAACCCTATGCCTGTGACAGTGAGTGCCTCCCGAGTGGGTGGGTAGTGCTTGCCTTGGACCCAGCTCCTGCTCAGGATATGAGAGGAAGGAGGGCTGTGTTCTTGCTCAGAGTGGTAAAACAAGCCTAGACACTTGTCCTGCCTGCTGACTGGTTCCCTCTGAGACCCCTGGGAGGCCCTGGCCTCTGCTACCTGACGGGTGGGGCCTGCATGCTCTGGGAGAGACTTCTGCTGTCCCCTGGGGTGGGGGTGCCAGTGAGGGGGCACACAGCACGCAATCGGCCTCAATAGATGGCATCCAGGTCTGCTAGCCCCAATCAAGCCAGGGCCCCAGGAGTCCCAACACCGAGTGTTTCAATGTCTGTTCCTCTCTCCCCCTTTTCTCTGACTCCCCACTTCTGTCCCTCCACCCTGGGAGCACCATCGCCGCTGGGGTTTCTCTCTCGTTTGCTCCGCTTTCCTGCTGCTGCTGCTCCTGTCTCAAGTGTATCAAGGCCTTCTTCTCATGACTTTTCTTTCTGTCTTTCAGATAGTTTCAAACAAAAGCATACCTCGAAAGCGCCCCAGAGAGGTAGCTCTCTCAACTTTTCAGACTTTTGGTTTTCCTGTCCGTTTTCCCCTCCTCCCTTGTTCCTGCTGCCTCTCTCATCTCCTGTGATGCTAGTTTAAAAGTCTCTGGAATGGCATGGAGATAGGAGCAGTGGACCCTCTGTTCTGCTTCACTCCTCACAGTCCTAGAAGCTGCCGTTACCACTGCTTATCTCCCACAAATTTGCTCCTAGGGCTGCTCGGGCCCACTGCATGGGGTGGCTTCAGAAGCATTTTAAGGATCCCATTCCAGACAGATCCTTCTGCTCCCCTTTCCCCAAATCAGACACTTGGCGGCCAGCTCCTGTTCCCCACCATCCCGCCACCTCTTCCTCCTCCCATCCGCTCCCCATTCCTTTCCTGCTGGCCCCCTTGCTCTTCTCGGTATCACTGCTTAACAGTACAAGATGCCTTGTGGGGATCTGCTGTCCTTGCTGGTTGGTGGGTTTGGGCAGGGCACTGATTGGTTGGGAGTGTCTTTGAATTTCTTTGGGGGCCAGCTACTCCGAAACTCAGTTGATAGGTTATCCCCAAGAGACCCAGCCCGTACTCCCTTACCCACACTAGGCAGAGACGGGCTCTGTAGTATATATGGGGTAGGCTCATATTCTCTTCCTTACCTTTACTCGTTCCTGCCATATTGCAAGACTAGACATTCCCTTTCCTTTCTGACCTGAAGCTCCCTAGCAGGCTACTCTCAGGGCAAGTGGAGATGGGGCCAGGGCTCAGCCTCCCAGCCAGCCAGTGTGGAGAGGTGACCATGGGCTGGGCTTGAGCAGGGAGAAGAGCCCTGGAAGCTGGAGAGCCTGATGCTCCTGGCCAGGGGAGGCGGCCGTCACCAAAAGCCTGTCCCAGAACAGCTGATGCGGGCGGGGGTGGTTGCCTCTGCCTCAGGTGGCGCCCCACAGCTTCGAGGGGCAGGGAAGTGGCGCTCTCAGATCCTGACACTTTCTCTGCAATCTTCTCTCCAATCAGTTTGTGGCAAACGTTACAAGAACCGACCAGGCCTCAGTTACCACTATGCCCACTCCCACTTGGCTGAGGAGGAGGGCGAGGACAAGGAAGACTCGCAGCCACCCACCCCCGTTTCCCAGAGGTCCGAGGAGCAGAAATGTACGCTGAGATGTCAGAGTGGGGTGACCTGGAAATGGCCTGGTTTTGCAAAACCCTCCTTTGGGGGATGTTGAGAAGCCCTAAGGTCCCCACAGGTGTCAGCAAAGTCCTTCTCTTTCTCCTTTGTAGCCAAGAAGGGTCCCGATGGATTGGCCTTGCCCAACAACTACTGTGACTTCTGCCTGGGGGACTCAAAGATCAACAAGAAGACAGGACAACCCGAGGAACTGGTGTCTTGTTCAGATTGTGGCCGCTCAGGTACATCCAACCCCAGGGGCAAGGGCTACCACAGCCAGCACCTAGCCCCAGTCCCCAAGGGGCTCTGGGATTACCAGCATCCAGTGGCTGTCACAGTCAACCAGGTCACCTCGCTTCACCCCCATTTCCAGCTGCCTGTTTCACTCGCCCCTCCCCCACAGGGCATCCGTCTTGCCTCCAGTTCACACCCGTGATGATGGCAGCAGTGAAGACCTACCGCTGGCAGTGCATCGAGTGCAAATGCTGCAACATCTGTGGCACCTCCGAGAATGACGTGCGTGTCCCCGCCCCCTCCCTGCACGCGTTTACTGTTTTCCCAGTTTCCTCTAAAGTGAGCTCTCTTCTAAAAGGGAGCAAGACCCCTCTTTCCTGCCCTTCCCCAGCATCCCAGGTGGCACTTTGTTTGGCAGGTGCTTATTGAGTATCTCCTTTGTGCCAGATACTGTTCTAAGCTCTGAGGACACTAAACAAGACAAACAAGGTCCATGCTTTCGTGGAATTGACATTCTCTGGGAACAAGCAATAAGCAGGGAAACAAGTGACATTTTTTATGATGTGCCATGAAGAAAATGAAACGAATCATGTGGCAGAGGGTAACTGGGTAACTGAGTTAGGTAATTAGAGATGGCTTTTCCGAGGAAGTGATGTTGGTGTTGAGGTTTGGATGATACGAAGGAGCCAGTCCAAGAAGCTTTGGAGGTAGAGCATTCCCAGGAAAGGAGCAGCAAGTGCAGGGGACTTAAGGCAGGCAAGCCAGGTATATCGAGGCCAGTGTGGCCGGCTGGAGCCTTCCTGCATTGGGAGAGTTGGTAGACGATGAGATTGGAAGGCAGGCACCACCAGGTCTGAGGGTTCAATCGGGAGTGATGTGGCCTGTCGTATTTCTAAAAGATAAGTTTGGCTGCTCTATGGAGAAGAGATTGCAGGGGACACAGTGGAGACCATGAGATGAGTTGGGCAGCTGGTAGGGTCCAGGTGAGACGACAGTGATTCAGTCTGGGTGGAGATGGACAGCAGTGATTTTCTGTGCAGAGATGCCCACGTCTGTTCTCACCTGCCATCTGTCTCACCCCTTCTGGAAGTGGTAGCAGTGTCTACAGAAGCCCTCCTTCCTCCCTGCCCCCAGCAGCCTAACCGAGGCCTATTAGTCATTCACCTCTCCCCTTCTTCCTCTATCTTGCCTTCTCTAGGACCAGCTGCTCTTCTGTGACGACTGCGATCGCGGCTACCACATGTACTGTCTTACCCCGTCCATGTCTGAGCCTCCTGAAGGTAGGTTGCCTGGATCTCTTCCCTAGAACGATTATTTTATTAGTAACTTGGACCATCCAGTAAGTGAGTTCTCTTCGTCAGTGATACATCCTTCCAAATCATGGAGTAGGCACTTTGCCTTCACTCCGTTCAGAATGCTTTCCTAGGATTTCAACTTCAAGGGTTTAATGTTTGCACATTGTCATCAGATACATTTTCAAACACAGAATATCAGCCCAAGAGAAAGCAGACATGGAGCAGAGAACAATTACCAGATGGAGTGATTGGTTTTCCTCCAGCCAGTCCGGGAAACTCAGTGCATAGTTATGTGATGTGAAACTTTGGCATCAGCTCATCGAACTTGACAAAACTGAGTGTTCATTTCCGCCCAGTCTGGGTGTTGAACCTGGAGCCTGAATAGGTCACTCCACCCCTCCAGTAGTTTGCTTAATAATGTTCCAAGTTTATGCAAGGTCTTTGAGGAAACCAGTGGTGGCACCAAAAAGTGGCTGCCCCTCCACAAGTCCCCTTCCAGCCAGATTTCTGTGCTAAACCCCTCCCTGTATAGAAATTTGGGCACTTAGGAATTTGCGAATGCCCCAGTACAAAGGATGTGGGCCAGCATCCCAGGCAAGAGAAAGTGGCTCACTGTGTGATGTAAGCTGACTTGTAATACAGGTCAGGCTGCTGTCGCTGTC